TTTTTTGCTGCTGTGACTCAAAGACTTGACCAGAACAATTTTAGAGGAGGAAAACTTTATTTGGGGGCTCACAGCTTCAGAGGTCTTAATCCACAGATAGCAGGCTCCATTCCTCAGGGCTTAAAGTGAGGCAGGACATCATGGTGCAAGAGAGTGGCAGGAAAGCAGAGAGAGACTCCACTCTCCAGATACAAATATATACCCCAAAGCCACACCCCCAGTGCCTCACCTCCTCCAGCAACACCTCACCAGCCTTTAACTACCACTCAGTAAATCCTATCAAGGCTTAATCAATTCACCGATTAGGGTAAAGCTATAACCCAATCATTTCTCCTCCAAACCTTCTTGCATTGTCTCGCATGAGCTTGTGGGAGACATCATATCTAAACCATAACCATCGGCATATTTTTAAGGCTTTGGATAGATATTGCCAAATTGGCTTCTGATTTTATACTCTGTTCTAATGTACACTACCACCAACTTTTTAAGGAAATAATTCTTCTAACTTTTTCTCAATGTCTGATGGTTAAATAAAAAGGTTGTTTCCCAGGGGTGATTTTTAACTGTTGGATTTTTTTTTTTTTTGGTATTGGGGATTGAACCCAGGGTGCTCTACCACTGGATACATTTCTAGCCCTTTTCATTTTTTACTTCGAAACAGTGTCTCACGAAATTGCCCAGGCTGGCCTCTAACTTTCAATCCTCCTGCCTCAGCCTCTTGAGCAGCTGGGATTACCCCCAGGGTTAACTTCTATGATGTTGATACTTTATAATGGGGCATTTAAATATTACTAGATCAGTACTAATTTTAAATAATACTAGATAAGAGCTCTGTAAATAATAGATGCAGTCATAGTAATGTTTATGAAGACAGATTATTGTAAAACATTGTATATATCTGTATTTTAGGTAATATTTTTACTGGCATAGGCACGAATTCAAAATCAATTGGCATAAAAGTATTTTTTGGTACTGGCAGTTGAACACATGTCAGGCAACCATTCTGCCCCTGTGGACTTTTACTCCAACCCTTTACATCTTATTTGGTCCAGGGTCTCACTGAGTTTCCCAGGCTGTTCTCTAATTTGTGATCCTCCTGTCTCAGCCTCCTGAGTAGCTGGAATTACAGACGTGTGCCCCCACACCAAGCTGGGAAACAGGTTTTGTGATTCATGATACCACGTGGTTTATAGAGAGTTTCCTGGATGATCAGTTTTCAGAGCGTGGAGATTCTCTGTTGTGAGTCTGACCAGTATCGCTTTGTAGGGTGGTTTTTGGTAGTTCCAGAGAAATCCTGGCACCTTGTCTGTGTGATGGATCTGCCACACTTGGGCTCTAATGAGGGATGGAAGGGGCCTTTCGTTTTCCGATGTGCCTTCTATTTCTTGTTAAAGCATCTTCACTCTTAAAATAATGCTCATGTTTTATACTTTATTTGAATATATTATCGTTTAACATGTACAGGGGTCAAAAAAGTCTGCAAGATTTTGATGATCTGTATCTAAAGATTTTTTTGGATGACTTATTTTCTAAAATTTGCAAAAGCATTTCAAGAAAGTTTCTTTTACTCTCACCTAAAACAAACAAACAAACAAACAAAAAAGGGAAAATCTCAGACATTTAAATAGTTGTTTAGCTTTTTAGGGTTTTCTTTGTTTCTTCATAGTAATTTAATGAGCCCCCTGCCCCAAATACATTCATGATTTCCCAAAGGTTTTGGTCTTCTCCATGTTGAGATTCTAACTGAAGGTTGTCAATGTTTAGTGTTTTAACTCAGCAAAAGGTTTTATTTTATCTTTCCTGTTGCCCCGTTCATATTCTTTGTCTTTATAATTTTTAAAAAATGCCTACATGGAGTAATATTGCTAGGGATGTAGAAATTGTTTAGAGTGGTCATTGCAGATTCCTTTTTCGTGTTGGGGACTGAACCCAGGGCCTTGTGCATTCTCATTCTTTAGCAGGTGCACAAGTTTTGACTGAAGGCATGGTAGTGGGGGGCTTGGGAAATGCTTGGGGAGGAGGTAGGTAAGGTACTGAGGTGTTTGGGGAACTCATCCTTTTAAACAATTAGAAGATTAGCAAATCCTTAAAATGTTAAGCTTGTTAACATAGCAGTGTTAATTCCTCAGCTCAAAATGCTGAATTTGCACACAGCAAGGAATAGCTTGTTCATGGCTTGGATAGGATCCCATAATTTTTTAA